GTTTGTGCAGACAAGCCACACAGGGGGGGCGGTGAGCTCCGCCCTGACAAACAGACAGCGGAGTGTGGCCTCTGGGCCTGGGTGGACTCACCGGAAGGCCTTGTAGACGGGTCGGAACCAGCACACGTAGGCACAAGGCGAGAAGAGCAGCAGCCACAGGAAGGCCAGGCCAAAGTTGGCCCCGTAGCCGCCACCGATCCACCAAGCCAGGCAAGCCACCAGGTTCACCCCCAGGGTAGCACAGTAAACTGGGGGGAGGGGGAGGAGGAGGAGGGCCTGAGCTGGGCAGGGCCGAGTCTGTCCTCCCATGAGCCCCCTGAACTGCTCTCTACACAGGGCCCGGAGCAGCTGGGCAGCAGGGTCCCAGCCTCTCACTCACCCTGCTAGCAAGGGTCAAGCCAGGTGACCCTCCGTCCACTGGCCCCTGGGGGAGCCTCGTCAGAAACCCAGGGGTCCTCACTGAGACTGTACTGGCCAGTACTTGGGCAGTCTTGGGGAGGCATGACCCTCCCATGCCCTTGGAGTCTTCAGGGGGCACAGGGGGTGTGGCCATTCTTTATTGCTCACCTCCCATGTGTGGAGGTCTGGGGGGCTTCCTTACAGGGCGTAGGAGAGCTAGGTAGAGGAGACTCACACAGCCCCATGCACTCCCCCCAACTCTAACAGGGTGGGGCTATATTTGGGGCAGTGAGGGAAATCACACATCCCCAGGCAGCCCCCCTGCTCACTCTGAGGGGCTGGGGGGGAGTGTTGGGGGCAGGATGAGGACTCACACATCCACAGGCGGTAGATGCGCTTCACCAGGACCTGGTGCTCCACGGGGATCTCATCGGAGAAGTTCTGGTAGAAGCAGGGCTTCAGCGGGATGAACTTGGGCAGTGGCGGGAAGTTGTTCTCCTTCTCTGCAGGCCGGGGACAGCAGCAAGTGAGGGCCAGGGCGGGGACAGCGGCCCCAAGAGGAGCCCGAGCCCTGGAGCTGGAGGGCACAGCCCTGCAGACGGGCGCAGTGGGGTCTGGAGGTGGGTGGTGACCCTGATCACCTCGGGTTAATGGGGTCACAGGGCCTTTATGGGAGGAAGGCAGGAGGGTTGGGCAGACGGGAGATGTGGGAACAGAAACAAGAGTGGAAGACGATGGGCCTTAGAGCTGTAAGAGGTAGGAGACTCCGGAAAGGCAGCTAATCTGGGTCATTTCGACCGAGACCTGCATGGCTGGAGTCTGCAAACGTGGTGGCTCGGAGCTCGTTTCGGCATGCAGCGACGGCCCAGCAGCCGCAGGTGGCACATGTGCACTCAGGGAAGAGCACAGGTTCTCCAAGACCATCAGGGAAGGTTCAGGCCCGTTCCAGTGCTGACTGACTGTCAAGAATGGCCCTGGACAGTCTCCTGACCCTTCCCCCGGATGGGGAACAAGGCAGCTGGGGCCCAGGCCTCATGCACACTCCGGATAGGTGAGGCACAGGGAAGGGAGGCGAGCTGTTGTTTTAAGTTAGGATTCACTCAAGAGGTGGCTCTGGGACAAAGGCCGATGGGGTGCAGAAGGGAGCCTGGCATACCATGTCGTGGAGGCACTCCTGGCTGAGAGCCTGGCCCATGCAAAGCCCTGGGGCTGGATGGACTTGGTGGGTTGGAGGAACAGTGAGAAAGCTCACTGTTGGAGTAGACAGAGCAGGATGTGTAGGCCTCGGGGAGACTTGGCCTTTGACCCAAGAGGTGGGAGATCTGAAGGGCAGTGGGCTAAGCAGGGGCAGGTCCCCTCTGGTGGCCAGCCACAAGGTGGACAGACAGGAGGCCAGAGTGGGAAGCAGGCAGATGTCTGAGAAGGGTAGTCCAGGGCAGCGAACAGTCGAGAAAAGGCCTGTGGACAGGACCATGCCAGCCAGACCTAGGAATGAGGAGTGGGGGAGCAGGCAGGGAGCAGGGCAGGGAGGTCAGTGGTGGGTGACGTCCACCTTGTGGGACACAGGATGGAGGCTCCCACTCCTTTGTGCAAGCCCCTTGTGTCTACAGGGCCTGCCGGTGTCCATGCCACACCCCCGTGGGGGTCAGTCCACCGCCTGAGCCGGCTCCATGGCACCCACAGCAGTGCACTTCCCTGCCAGGAGCCACCTGCTTCCCTAGGAGGTGAGACGCACAGCCCTACCCGGTGGCCCAGGACCCCAGTGTCAGGAAAGTCCTCTCAGGCTCCAGACACCAGAACCCCAGTTCTCTGCTCTGAACCTAGAGCTCAGATGCCCAGCTGTCGGGAGAGGTCTGCTCCTGGGCAGGCGCCCTAGGTGAGAGCAGGTGTCGTGGGTGCAGATAGGGATGCCTGGGTGTGAACACTTCCCCTGCCCCGGAGTCCTCTCTGCCTTTGACACACAGGGGACGAGGATGCCAACTGTCTGACGCGTTCTGAGAGAACGAGAAGCAGGACTCACCTGACATGGTCGCAGTGGCCAACACGGCGTGGGGCTGAAGCCACGGCCCACCTGGAAGAGAGGACAAAGGCATCAGGTCCCATGGTCAGAGGGGACCAGCGCCTGTGAGGGGCTCAATGACCAGGACGCGGACACTGACCCCACCTTCCTGGGCTCTCTTCTGTGGGCTCAGCTTCTCACCCCAAGAGTCTCTAGGGGCCAGGACCCTATCCAATGCGAGTGAGGCCCCTGGCTCCTATTTTCAGGGCACACCCCACTGGGGAGGGTGGGGAGGTTCTGACACAGATGTCCTCAGGGTCTCCAATCCCCCACCTGAGATGAGGGGCACTGCCTCTCGGGGCCGGGACCCTCACACCCACATGCGGACGGAGCTGAACCTATGCCAGGAGCCAGGATGCAAGCCCCTCTGACCATACCTCACCATGGGGGCTAGGAGGGGCTTGGAACCTGCCAGGTCAGCTGGCAGCAGACACACCCAGCTGGGCTCCATCCCAGCTCTTCTTTCAAATACACAAAGCAGAAAGACGGCTCCACTGGTGGGCACTGTGGACCCTGGCAGCCCTGGACCATGGCAGCCACCCTGGACACTGCCTGCCTCACTAGCTGATTGGCCTGGGGGTGCACCCAGGGACCTGTCCCAGAGGGTCTGCCATTCCATGGAAGCACAGGAGCCAGGTTCACTTGTTTATTTCTGCACACCAAACATGCTCCGACAGCAAAGGCAGAGGCCAAGTGCATGAGACCGCAGGGGCTGCGGGCTCAAGAGCTTCGGGGGGACAGGCAGGGTGCAGTGCAGGTGGCCCCATATGCTCCAGTCCCCGCAACACAAGCTCTGAGCAGGAGCCAGCCTTAGTCACTGCCTGGTGGTGGGCACAGGCAGACAGAGCAACGGGCGGGCATGGGGTGTCTGACAGAGGAGGCTGGTCCCAGGTGGAACCAGTCACAGCATGGTTGGTGGGCACAGGCAGACTGAGCAACACACAAGAGCGAGGTGTCTGAAAGAAAGGCTGGTCCGTGGCAGTGGCTCTGAGCAGATGAGGCGAGTCCACAGAGCCTGAACATTAGTTACCATGGGGCCGGGCAGGGCAGCTATGCAGGCAGGCCTGGGGGAGGGAGCCAAGCTCTGCAGCGGCAAGGCAGGTCCACGGATCCTGTGTACTATAGGCGTCGCTCTGGGCAGTTGGGCGTCTGGGGTGGTCGACAGGGTCCTGGAGCCTATGTGTCGGGGTCAAGGACGCAGCACTGGTGCTCCAGCACGCCCCGGAACACCTGGAAGCGGTGGTTCAGGTCGGGCCGGGCGTGCAGGCGGAAGCGGGTGCCCAGGGCGCCATCGGGCGACGGTGAGCCATAGAAGACGCGGCGGATACGGGCGTGGACGAGGGCCATGGCGCACATGACGCAGGGCTCGCGGGTGATGTACAGGTCGTAGCCAGTGCACACATAAGGAAGTCCGTCCTCGCCGTCCAAGTCCTCACGCTCCAGTTTCCGCACCGCGCCCGGGCGTGCGCCCTGGGGGCCGGTGGTTGACGCGAACCAGCAGGCGGGGTGAGTCCCGAGGTCGTAGGCGCCGCAGCCCTGGCCCTGGGCCACCAGGTCAATGCACACCATGGTGGCGTGCAGCAGGGGGCTCGTGTCACTGCAGCAGTCGTGGCCAGCTGCCAGAACACGGCTCGAGATGGGGTCCACCACCACAGCACCCACGGCCCGCAGGCCCCGTGCGGCCGCCTGTTGCGCCACCCTCACGGCGCGCTCCATGTGGCCCTGCATGCGGGCGCGCTCCTGCGCGGAGAAGAGCCGCCCGGCCAACGCGCGCGTCACCTGCTTGTCCTCATGGAAGGTCGAAGGCCAGTGAGCTCGGGCTGCCTCGAACTGGGCGCGCGTCAGCGGGGGCCGGGCGGGCACAGGTGCCAAGAAGGGCGGCCCGAGGCCGCGCGCATCCACGGTGGGCGGCAGTAGCTCGGCCAGTGTGCGTGTGCCCGGGCGCGGCCCCGCCAGGCACAACAGCAGTTCCAGCGCGTGCGGGCGCTGCGCGTCTGGGTTGGGCCGCACGCGCTTGAGGTGCGGCTGGCTGGGCAGCGGCAGGGCGGCGGACACCTCGCGGACCAGACGGGAGGTCTGGCGCGGGTCAAGCACAGGCGCAGCGAAGGCGGGCACCAGCTCCACCGCCTCGCTCTGCTGCTCCGACAGGACGGGGAGCGCCTGCCACGGCGGCCCCAGCTCCACGCTCCCAGCCTCCAGGTTCCCCCGTGGCTCCATCCTCCGGGCTCCCACTGTGGAGACAGAGACCGGAGCAGGGCGTCATCCGCGGCGAGGAGTTCAGCCGGAGCAGCATCGCAGGGTGCTAACCAAACCCGCATGCGGGGCGCCGGGGCACCGTGTCAGCCGTCGCTGCTTGTCCCTCTATGACTATGGCGATGCGATCCACGCACAAGTCGTGCTCCAAGGACAGATGAGGCTATGGATGGGGGCGGCTCTGCCCTGCCCTCTAGGGTGGCTGAGTGGGGAATGGGCTATGGTGATGAGTGAGTGATCCCCTGCCCTGGTTAAGGCTGCCAGTGTCGGAAGACCTCCGCCGCCTTTCTCCCCCTTCAAACTAGAGGATGGCAGCCCCAACTCACAACCGCTATGCCAGCAGGGTTCCTTGAGAAATAACCAGTTTGCTAATAATCATGTAAGATGCGTGGCACCCTGGTAGGGGCAGGGCCTTGCAGAGAACTTACGTGAAGCCCTAATGAGGGGACTGGCCAGTTTCCCCAACCCATTGGGTTTAACCCGAGTCACCCAGAGGCAGGGAGAACCTCAAAACCACTCAGAACGACGGGAAAGAGCCAGGAGTGGAGCTTGTCCTTTGGACCCAGGGTTCCTGTGGCGAGAAACCCCCTAGACCCAGGACCAGAGTGCAGTAACTCCAGAGGGCGCCACAAGGAGGCAGGAGGCAGAGACAAGTGGGGGTGTGGGGGGATGTCAGCAGGCTCTCTAGTCCACACAGCAAGACACCGAGTGAGCACCTTTGAAGGGAGGCCTGTTGGCAGAGATGGTGCCTCCAGGCCCTGATCAGCAGAGAGCAAGAGTTTTGTAACTTGTCTGGGAAGGGCAGAGACCTGGTGAGCCCACCGCTGAGCGCTAGAGACGCCTGCCCAGCTGAGAAGAGGCGGTCTTGATTGAAGAACTGTACCCTGCCATTCCTGATCTCGTGCTGTCAACGGTTCCTTCCCTAACAGTGCCGGCTGCTTTACCATGAGGATGGTTTTTAAGTTCTGTGTGGCCACTGGTCCAAATTATAAAACCCGCAGAGAAGCTGCGGTGGGAGGGACAGCTGGTGTCAGAAATGGTGAGGTGGTTGGCGGGTAGAGGCATGTCTGACCCCCATCTCGTGGGGATCAGCCTTGGGCTATTGACGCTGGTGATGACGCTCCTCAGCTCTGACACCTCCCCCAAATCGCTGTCCTCTCAGCAGGTGCCATGAGGCCGTCTCCCCCAGTCTGGCAGACACACAGACCCTGGTGTTCATGGCCCCAGAACATGAGGCAAAGTGAAGAGGTGGCACTTCACAGACCCCTGGGCACCCGGTGCCACTGTAGCACAAGGCCCATGCCAGGCGGGGTCTACGGGGAAGTCTGCAAGGCTGCCCCTCCCGGCCTCCCACACCACAGACATGATCCCCAATCCAGAGCTGGCCCTGCCAGCCCCCACCACACACACCCTGTCTCCAAGGCCAAGACAAACGCAGTCTTGTCTTCCTGAGACTGAACCTCTGTCTGATTCGGTTTAAACATTGCAGCTGCCGTCAGGAGACGGCTGGCCAGCCACCAGCTGAGTGTTAGAATTAGGGGTGGGGGCTGGGGGGGAGGGTGACCCAGCAATCCTCTCAGGGGTATGGGTGGTGGTGGTGGTGGTGAAAGCACATTTACACAGAAACCTGCACACACGTTCACAGGGGCAAAAGGTGGGGACACCCCCACGCCCATCCAGAGCCAGCAGGCACTGCTCACCCAGAGAGGGGGGAGGCCTAGATGCTCAAGGAACACCGACAAGCTGCAGATGTTAGACGCACACAGAGGGGCTTCACACAGAGGAAGCTCAAGGGGAAACTCACTGTCCCTCCTGCCCCCAGAACTTTCTGAAGCCCCCTTGTCGGGTCTGATGTACCACGTACAGGCCCACAGGCAGAGCGGTGTGGCGGGGCGGGTACAGGGCTCTTTCTGGGGTGGTGGAATGAATGTCCTGGAATTAGTGGTGATGGCTGCACAGCGGGGAATATGCTAAGACCAAGCGCTGTGCACCCCAGCCATGAACACACGCCACCAGCGGACGTCTCCAGAGGGCTCGCGGTTGAGACCCACGAGTGGTCCACAGCAGGGGAAATCCTGGCAACCTGCTTTCTGAAGACCTCCCAGGAGCCCTGTGGAGCAACTGCCCCCGTAATGCACCGAGTTACTGCACGTTGGGTACACTTTACAGGGGCACGTATCGTGATATGTGACCATCTCAATAAAAGTGCTACTGAACATGAAACCCGGGGCAGGGGATGGCCTCCAGAGGCCGTAGTGAGTGCCATCACCACCCTAGGCCCCAAGGGTGGCCCCAGCACCTGAGGTCGTTCTCTGTGCTACACCAAGGAAGGGGTGACAGGTGCTCGCCCCACACTGCAGAGAGAAGGCTCCACGGGCCCAGGCCATTTGATGGGCCCTGCTGGTCACTGTCTTGAGCTGTGACCCTGGGCTTTGGCGGCTCCACCTCCAGAGTCCACGTCGCTTAGCCCCTGCCCCAGACATGTGCTCTGCCAGGCTGTCTGTCCTGAGCATCAGCCCTAACAACACACCCACCCTGACTCTGAGCCAAAGCTGCAGCCGTCCACTCGGCTCAGCCCGTCAGAGGAGAAGTGAGCCCCACAGGGTTTTCTGGCTGCCGTCACTTCAGAATCAGACCGCCAAGCTTGCTAGGTTGGCAGTCGGGCACAAACTGCCCATTTGTACCTCCAGTCTGGAGAGGCCAGCTAAACAGACCCATGCTCCGGCCTGGAGGGGCCTGCAGAGGAGCCAGGCGAAGGCCTGGGGCTGGATGAGGCAATGATGGCGATCACGGGCCACCAGCTTCCAGGCTGGCTGCCCCAGAGCCACGGTGAGGTCCCTGAGCCAGCCATCCTCTAGCTGTCCCACATCGCTCCCCAGCAAGGGTGTGTCCAGTGGTGACACCTCTGCTCAGCTGAGTCAGGCTCTGGGCACAGGGCGTGTGGGCTGACCTCAGGTAAGGTGACCTTATCTTATCAGCCCCAGAAAGAAAAGAAGCAAAGTCCCAGGGAGACTCCAGGGTGTGTCTGCCCGAGACAGACACCCAGGCTGTCCCCCGAGTCCTCCTGAGGGCTGCTCATGGGGCCGATCGGCGTAGAGGTTACTGTCACTGGAACTGAGGGTGGTGGTCGTGGGTGCTGGTGGGGGGGTTCAGGGGCGTCAACACTCCGGGGTCACAGTGCAATAGCATTCTCTAACAGTGGTGACCATCACAGAATGGGGCCTGGCAGCCTGATGACTGTGTCAACTCCAAGCTAAGCTATTTTGGATTACTTAAAGGCACACCGCCGCAGCCTCTATTCCCTTCCCCAGTAGCCCTGCAGAACCAAGTGGAGAAGCCCCGAGAAGGCCCCTGAGGCTGTACATCGATAGGGGTGACCATGAGTGGGCATCAACTCGATTGCTGGGCTCTGGCCACCAGCCTCAACCTCCCGCTTGGCACACTGGCCTCTGTTCAACCCTTTGCTACCACCAGGACCACAGGAAAACCAGGGATCTTCATTTTTGACAAGCTCCCCAAGTGAAGAGCCCCCTCAAATGTGCATTTAAGATAAATGAGTTTTTAGCCCATAGAAGCAAGGGGCCCTGGTGGTGCTGTGGATGAAGCATTGGGCCACTAATCCCAAGGTCCGTGGTTCAAACCCACTAGCACCTCTGCAGGAGAAAGATGAGATCTGCTCCCCTAAAGATGTACAGTCTTGGTATAGCTCCGTGTAAGGTTGTCCTAGAAGCTGTAGTGGAGATGCCCTGGTGGCATGGCGGTTATGAATTAGGCTACTAACCGCAAGGTCAGGACTTCGAAACCACCAGTCATTCCGAGGGAGAAAGATGAGGGTATCCACACCCCTGTGAAGAGTGAGTCTCAGGAACTCACAGGGGCAGTTCTACCCTGTCCTATAGGGTCGCTATGAGTCAGAATCAATTCGGTGGCAGGGAGTTTTTGTTTCTAAGAAGCCGTAGTGGGCTGAAACACAACAATTGTACAGGGCAGGGCCGGTGGTGTTTCATTCTGGTGCACACAGGATCGCTGTGAGTTGAGATCGAATCGGTGGCACCTGACGGCAGCAACAGCAGGTTAGGAGCGGAACTGCTCACCGGGCAAAGCTTTCTGCTCCAGTCGAGAGCTACAGCCTCGCAAACCCCCCAGAGAGGTTCTACTCCGTCCCGTAAGTCGAAGTCGCAGCAAATAAGACTTTGGTTTTATGAGTTCAAATCTACTCGACGGCACTGGTGTCATTTGGTCGTATCGTATACAAAAATGTGTGTCCCATGCAGTATTTGGGGTCTTCTCATACTAACACGCGAGCATTGAACACTGGACACCAGAGTCCAATTTCATGAGGTGTCTGGTCTTTTGGGCTAAATGGTCGACCCTTCTGGTAGTTCCACTTATTAGGAGCCCTGGAAGTCTCTAAACTTGCCATTAAGCACTGGGATTCATTAGTGGTGGTATGGAGGCAAGCTCGCGGTGGGCAGGGAGCACTGGGCGGAGGGGCTGGCCGCAAAGACCAGCGGCCTGGGGGTACGGGGTCCCCAACGCAGGGGAGCAAGGGCGCGCGCACGTGTAGAAGCGAGGGGCCCCTAGGTCGGGAGTGGGGGGTGGGGGGAGTCCCGCGGCCCAACCCACCCTCTGCGCACGCACACGCGCAGAGCCGCCCGGCGTCCCTCTCACGCGCCCGCCCGCTGGCCCGCGACGCGCGCAGGCCAAGCCTGGCCGCACCCTGGCGCCCCGCGTGGCCGGGGCCCTAGAAGCCCGAGAGCCCCGCTCGCTCCCCGTGCAGCGTCCCGCAGCGAGGCCCACTGGCCGAGGCCTTACCTGAAAGAGACGGCCCGGATCAGCGCAGCGCTTCACGAGATCTTAGCAACCGGCCCGCCCGCCCGGCAGCCACGCCTCCTCCTGCCGCCGCAAAGTACGCCGGGAACGTAGTTCCGCCGGCCTCGCCGGCGCAGGGCGGAGGCGGGGCCCGGACTAAAATCCCCAGAAGGCCCCGCGCGCGCCGTACGCGCGCCCCGCCCCTGCGCCGGGCCGCGGTCACGTGGCCGTCTCCAGCGCCGCGCTGGCGGCGCCGCGCCGCACGCCCAGTGGCTTGTGTGCGGGGCCAGGTGGGTCCTGAGATCGTCGCAGCTCGGAGACCCGACGGGAGAGGAGCAGAGTGAGGAGATAAGGGCAGAAAGGGGACATGGCACCTGCGTACTGTCCCCTCGCGAGCCCAGTGGTGTCACGTGGCTCGGGAGGACTGGCCCGTGGGTGGGGTCGCAGGCCTCAGTGTTCCGGTCGGTACCACAGGTGAACAGGGCCTCCTGGGCACCACTGAAAAGAGGAACGGAAACAGGAAACCCGAGGAGAAAGAGAACTAAGGGCTGGGAGGCTGAGGGGGTGACAATGGAGGAATTGAGGGGGTGGGCAGAGCCGCCCAATGGCACCTCCCCTAGGACCCCCGAGCAAGCGGGGCGCCCCTGCAGGCCACCTTCTGGAAGTGGGGGTGATGCTGTGAGAGCCAGGCAGGGAGAAGTGGTCAGTACAAAGCACACTGGCCTCCCCGCCCCCACTTCCCCATAGCAATTGGCCACAGACAGGCCAGGGAGGGAGAAAAATAGGGAGCCCCTCCTTGGAGGGGCTGGGCAGAGTTCATTGACGTGGAGTCCACGCTGACTCAGGAGTAGGAAGCCCAGTCTTTGTCCGGGGAGCTGCTGATGGTTTCTAACTGCAGCCCGTGCGGATTGCAGCACTGCACGTAACCGCTATTCCCACCGCGGCTCCTGAAAGGTGTACTGGTCAGAGATAAAGGTGACCCAAAGAGCAGGACCCACGGTCCCCCTTCAGGTTGGAACCTGAGCCCGACCCTTTATGCGACTCATCCACCACTTAAAATCTGAAGGGTGACCTTTCCTCAAGGACAGAGTTCAGAGTTCTAGGAAAAGAGGAACAGAAACAGGAAACCCGAGAAGGAAGAGAAGGGCTGGGACGCTGAGGGGGTGACAATGGCTAAGGTGACCAGATTTTAACATTGGTCAAGCGGGACACCATTGACCAAACTCCTATCCTGGTGAAATAGCCACATGGCAGCCGAAAACCGTATACCCTAGCTTGTCGTGCATTCTTTCCAAAAAATCGGGGCTTTTTAAAAATGCCGCAGGACGCGGGGAAAAATTGTTAAAATTCGGGACTGCCCCTCCAAAAGCGGGACGTCTGATCACCTTACAATGGAGGAACTGAAACAAACCTGTGTGTAAGTTGTTGAATGTTAAGACCGGTGACCTGCCCTGTAAACCTTCAGCCAATTCACAATCAGAAGTTTAAAATACACACACCTCTCTAGTGGGGGGAGATTGCACACAACAATCTCGAAAGTCAGTCTTTGAAGGAGGAGCTGGTTTTACCAGACACCGCCTGCCCGCTGCCCCCAGGGGCCAAGCCGAAACCACTGTTCGGGCCCTTTGGTCTCGCTGCTCATCCTGTTGACTCCTGCGTTTGCTGTGGGTGGTTTCAGAAGCTCCAGGTGCTTCCCTCTGCGGGGCCCCTCAGCCCAGTCTCTTCCCAGAAGCAGGATGGGCAGACTTCCTTCCACTGTCAGACAGGGAGGTGGAGAAAATCCACTAGACCCTGCCCAGTAGGGCAAAGATCACAGTGGCCTGGGCTGTAATTGAGTGCCCCAGTGTGCGTGTGTGAGTGTGTTATGTGTGTGGGAGGCGTTTAAGAACAGAAACATGCGCTTGCTGTGCTGGTTCTCCATCCTGTAGGTCCCCCTGGGCCTCTTTGCTCTTTCTAAGGGCTGCTGGGATCCTTGGGTTACCCTCTCATCGGCGCCTGTGCCCTGGAGTGGCAGAGCCAATTCACTCACTCCAAGGGACAAGACTCCCCTCCATCGGGCTGATGCCGACGCACAGTGACTCTATGTGAAAAACAGGATAGAGACTGCCCTTGTGAGTGTCTGAGAGTGTACTTTTGTTCGTTTGGTTTTTTATCGTTTTATTAGGGGCTCATACGACTCATCACAATCCATACATACATCAATTGTGTAGAGCACATTTGTACATTCACTGCCCTCGTCATTCTCAAAACATTTGCTTTCCACTTCAGCTCCCGGCAGCAGGTCCTCATTTCTTCCCCTCCTTCCCCGCAAACCCCCTCCCTCATGAGCCCTTGATAATTTATAATTTATAAATTTTTAATTTAACAATTTATAAATTGTTATTTTGTCATATCTTGCCCTGTCCAACATCTCCCTTCACCCACTTTTCTGTTGTCCGTCCCTCAGGGAGGGGGTTATATGTAGATCCTTGTAATCGGTTCCCCCTTTCTACTCCACCATCCTGGTATCGCCCCTTTTACCACTGGTCCTGAAGGGATCATCTGTCCTGGATTCCCTGTGTTTCCAGTTCCTATCTATACTTTTTTTTTTAATAGTTCTATTAGCACTTTATCCACATGTACAATTCAATCATATCAAAAAGAGTTGTACAGTTGTCACCACATTCAATTCTAGAACATTTTCTTCCTTGTACGCATTATTTGTGTATTTTTCTAACTATGGCAAAAATGCACACAAAGAAACTGTTTAACTCTTTACAGCAGTAGAAAATCCCGCCTTTCTCCAGAAGACTACCGTGATTTCGAACTGCCTGCCTTGGGGATCACAGCCCAACACATAACCACCACACCACCAGAACAATAGATGTGTATTAAAAGGTGACCTCAGTGGGGAGACCAGCAGCCACGCATGTGATCTCGATGACATCTTGCCTGTCCTCAGAATACGTAGTGATTATAAACTTTGACACCAGAATGCACATTTGGGGGCAGCCTTGTCCTTTTCCAGGTACTCTCCACCACTCAAGTCCCAAGAAAATCCTGACCTGTGGGTGCCCACTCTTAACAATCAGACACTGCAATAGGAGTAGCATGTATGACACATGAGCAGTTCCCAGAGGCAGGCAGCAATCTCAGAGCTGTCTCTGAGCAGCACAGAAGATTCCACCAGGGCTGGGGTGAGAAGCAACGGTGGCATGGGGTAGGCTGCCTATAGACAGGAAATGAGCCCAGGTGACCCTGACTCTTTGTTGGCTGCTAGTGGGCCCCGTGCACAGTGGTCTTGTGCCACGTCCGCAGTGACCTGCTGACCCTACTCCAGCCCTCTCAAGCTCTCCAGCGACGCCCTCCCCCTCGTTGGCCTGCCACTTGACGCGCGCCCCCCCCCCACTGATCCCTCCCTGCTGTCTGTCCACAGGAAGCGAGTCAGACAACAGTCTGTCATGATGCATAAGCTTCTCCCCCCACCCCCCAACCGGTGAACTTTTGGAAATAGAAGGCTTCAAAAACACTTCCTTGAAAAACCCCCTTTGGTTTCCATTCTCCAGCCAACTCTTTGAAGCTCCACCGCTCAACTAACCACCACAGATGGTCAGGCCTTTGCTCCTAGTCTGCCCTGGTCTGGAAGTTCCAGCCCGGGTGCCTCAGGTGGTTTTTAAAATCCTGGGGGGGCATACTGTCTGGCAGCATGGCAAGGGGGAAGCCACCATAGTGTAAGAACTGGCACACAGGTCACTCACTCACTGCCATCGACTCAACGGTGGCACCTAACAACAAGGGGGCAGCACTGCCCATTTTGAGTAACACTATAGGCTCGCTACGGGGTGGAATCCACGCTGGCAGTAGGTTTGGTTGGGTTGGGTTTCACTTAAGTTAGTGTTCGGACTTATTTACTACCAGGCCTTTAGAGTAACACCACCCAGAGGTGAGCAATTAGTACTCCACTTTGGGTCTGCAGCCCAAGACCTCTTTAAAGCATTGAAAAGCAAGGATGTAACTTTGAAGACTAAGGTGCGCTGACCCACACCATTGCAGCCTCTGCCTGTGAAAGTCGGGCGTTGAAGAAGGAAGACCGTAGCAGAATTGATGCATGTGAATTGTGCTCCCGGAGAAGAGTATTGAAAGGACCATGGACCGCTCAAAGGACACTGATCTGTGTTGGAAGAAGTGCGGCCCGAGTGCTCCTTAGAGGCAAGGATGGTGGGTTAGTCTAGGTGGACCAGAGAATCAAATTCATAGACACTCATGTGTATAAGAAAGAGGTTTATATACAAGAGCAATTGAATATTGAGAAAACATCCCAGTCAAGTCCAATATTAGCCCATACGCCCGATACCAATCTATAAAGCCCTCTTCAGACTCACAAAACATATGCAATGACGCCAAAGGCAGGAAGATCACAGGCCAGTGGGTGGGAGGTCTCCTGGGTCCAATGGTGGTGTAAGCATCTCAGTGCTGGTCGAGGTCTGTCTCCACGTGGCTCCGGGGGTCTGGCTGCCAGCAGCCTGTCTCCATGTGTCGTCAGCTGCAATTTCACCCATGGAGTGAGCATGTATCCCACCTCCAATGAGCTCTTTATCTCCTTAGCCCCTCCAAATGAGGTCACCAAGCTGCCACCTGATTGACAGGCTAAACTCCACCCCTTCACTCTTTAATCCTCAAATTGACACCAGATTATGTAACTACCACAGATGGCAAGAATCTGTTCCTCTTAAATACTTTGGACGTGTTGTCAGGAGAGTCCAGTCTCTGGAGAAGGACGTCATGCTTGGTAAAGTGGAGGGGCGGCAGAAAAGAGGAAGATCCTCCATGCGATGGGTGGATACTATGGCCGCATCCATGGATGCCGCAGGACCACGCAGTGTTTCATTCTGTTGTGCACACAGCCGCTCTGCGTCGGAGCCGACCCAATGCCACCTGACAACAACAACAACTTCGGGGCACTTTATAGGATCCCATGAAGAAGCAATAACTTAAAGGCCTTATTGTACTAAATAAGTACTTTATCTTGAAATTCAGTGCACTTTTATCACTGAGACGGAAGCCCTGGTGCTATAGTGGTTACTCTTTGGG